AGTCTGCGAGCCGGAAGGCAGCGCGTCCCGGACTGGCAGAACTCGTGCAGTCACATCCGGGGAAGGGAAAAAGTGCTCTTTTACTGATGTTTTGGTGGCACTGAAAAGTACCGTTGTTATCGGGGCCCCGCCCTCCAGCGGGGAAAGAGCAAGTTTCCTCTTCTCCGGATGGCCTGTCTCAGGGACGCTTCGCGGTCCGTTTACCGGACTTAACGGCGCCCTGGGCAGGAGGGGCTGCCTGCTTTCGAGGTGAACGCCGCGCCCGCTTGGCCGGAGGCGCAGGCGGGGGCGGGGCAGCACTCGTTGGCGGGCGCCCTCGGCGAGGAACAGCGGAGGTGGATGGCTCGGCGGGCGGAGCGGGCTTACGGCCACGCCGATAGATGACATTGCCCATCGCATCCGACTGCTCTTTCACCGCCTTGAATTCCTGGGTGAATTCACCGACGGTGTCGCCGAACAGGCCAGCCTGGGATATGGGCGAGTCAAGAAAGCGAACTTTGTCAACGTCGCGCATATCGGCCAGGTTTAGCCAGAGGTGGCGTTCCTGAACCACAAGTGTGGACATCGTCCTCCCCAGCGCACACGCGGCGGACTTAGTAGTCCGAAGAGCATAGTCGGTCGCGGTGCGCAGCTCATGTAATAAGCTTGGGTTGGACCCGCCCTCGTGCAGCTCGGCCAGCGCCTGCGCTTGGTAGCGCTGGTAGGTGGCCATCGCGTGCAAAGCAGAAGCAGCCTGGCCCGCAGCCTTATAAGCTCTGGCTCCGAGGGAGGCAGACAACCTACAGGCTTTGGACGGGAGGCGGGGCAAACCCCGCCACGTAGAGGCGCCGCGCGGACAAAGATTGACCGCGATAGCGCGCTCCACTGACGGGATCGCCTCATACCCCCTGGCAGCTCCGCCGTCAAGGGCGGTGAGGGCGGAGGCACTCGCAGCACGGGCAGAGAAAGGTGCCCTCCAGGACTGCGTGAGCCTACTGTGCACTTCCGGGAAGAAGGGGACGAGAGGCTTCGAAGGCTTCGCCTTCTGGTCCTCTACGTAGCACCCATCTAGTCGGTCCGGCCGCGGAGCTGGGGGATAAACCATCTCCAACCCCACGGCCGAAGCAGCCCGGGAAAGCACGGCTAACATGTCCGCTTCAGGATCCGATTTGACAGCGCTCACCTGCCCGGAGGGGGCGAGCGGGTCCGGATCTTCGTCGGACAGTGAAAGCCCACCCTCCGATGCCGCGGAGGACATCTGATCTCCGGTGTCAGCGAGTGTGAGAGCTACCATCTGGTTAGACGGATCACTCTCACCACCCGAAGCTTGGATGGAGCGCCGTGAGGAGCGAGAGGTCCGCGAGCCCGTGGGCGGCGGATTAGCTCCCGCTGAAACCCTCAGATCTGCCCGAGCGCCCGCTGCTTTTTTAGAGCAGGAGGCAACTGGGGTGGCTCGCTCTCTTGCGAAAGTTAGCCGCGATCTTAGCTGTGCAACGGTCATGGCATCGCAATGACGACATGAACCGCCCGCGAGCACCGCATTAACATGCTGGACCCCCAAACATGCAATGCAGTGATCGTGTCCATCATCCGGAGCCAGGAAACCCCCGCATCCAGAAACGCACAGTCGGAGCGCCATCCTGAAAAGGACGTGCTGCACGACTGTGTTGCTCTTTTAGGAAAGTTGCAACTATACGCACCGCTCTGGAGGACCGGACCCAAAGAACCGCAGGCAAGGGAGTAACCCAGCTCGACCGTCTGCCACCGCGAAGACCCACTCTGGACCGGGAGACACACTCGTTCGCTCTGAAGTGCTGATCAGCAAGAGGAACCCTCATCGACTCACTCAGAAAGGATCTGAAGCGAAAAGGATGGCGTCTGCTGGCTTCAGGTGTGCTTATATGCTGAGATAATTGCAGATGTCGCACACCTGCGCAAGCTTACGCTGCCAATTAATTTCATTCATTGGCCCGTTCAATACTCTCCAGATAAGCGGCTTCTGATCCGAATCCTCCCATTCATGGCACTGAAGTTCCCCAACCGAAGGGGAACCAGAGTTTTCCACTACAGTCATCTTCGCCTTGAAGAATCCCCCCTACCACTCCTACTCCTCCACTTCTCTGATAGAGTGGCACGGCGACCCAGTGGTTAGCACTGTTGCCTTACAGCAAGAATTCTGCTAGTTCGGCCCTTCACCAGGCCGGTCAGCATTTCTGTGCAGAGTTTGCATGTTCCCCCCATGTTTGCATGGGTTTCCCGCAGGTTTCGCACTTTTCTTCCACCGTCCAAAGACATACACCAAAAGTAAATTGACTAATTGACAAAATAGCATCTTTAGACAACTCTTAGCTAGATATACTTAAATACTTCCAGGTTTCTTCCCACCGCAGCCTCGATTTTGCTGTTTAAAATGGCCGCGGCGTGAAATCAGTCTTAGACAATGTTTCAGATGACTGTTCTAGAGCCTACAGCTAATCAATCAGTCAGATTCTGTGCTTTCAAGTTCTAAAGAAAATTATAAATAATAAATTATCCTAAGTAAAACAAATACATTTATAGATACAATATACGTTTTAGTTACTTCCGTATTTGCTTCCCGAGGGAGAGTGGGAGGTTGCCACTTGGGGATTGGCCTTTAAAAACCATGGCCAAATCCCAAACATATAGCTTTTTTACCACGTCGCAAGTTATGTAGTGTATGTAGCGCACAAACCAAAATGTATATATATATATATATATATTTTTTTTTTTCCTTTTTCTTTTGTTATTGTAGTAATTGTTTTTGGTCAGCTGTGGACTGTTTTTCACCTGCCAAAACTGTAAATAAAACACAATTTGCACTGGAGTGCTATCGACAGCCATCTTTTTGCCCCCACATCCCCCAAAATTATAAAAACGCAGTTAGCTCTCGAAGGACCCCTCTGTCATGGGTTATGAAAGTAGACATTTGTATGCTGGGATGTTTAATCACATTTTACTTGTTTTTATTAACACAATAGCACATCCTGTGTGAATCCCCCAAACAGCTGACTTGTTTTTCCAGCTGTGTATTTGTATGATACGTGCTATTGTGTGTGCCTTTGTGAGCAGGTGTCTTTGTGTCAGAGTGTGTGCCACCCTCTGCTGAGGTTGACAGGTGCGGTTTTGTGCAGGATGTCTTGCCGTTAATAATTAGGCTTCATCTTTATTCTGGCGGTTTAATTAAAACTGTCTCCTTTCTTTGCAGCACAGAAAGTTTCCCTGCAGCATTGCATTGCAGTTGCTTAGCATAATGGCTAGGGCATGAAATGTTTGCTGGTAATTGCCATGCTCACTCCTAGAAGAGGTAGTGATTGCAGCAATGATGAAATGCCAAGAGTAGAGAAAGCTGACTAATGACGGGTCAGTAAATGCATGGGAAACATTTTTTCAGACACTGGCCAGGTAAGAACAGCAGTTTATGGACCCTTTCTGAGTTTGACTTGCAATATTATGCGTTGTTAGGAAAGGATATTTAATTAGTTCTTTGTATTTTAACAGAAAAGTAAAGCGTATGACATTTGATCAAAGATGGTGGGCTCTATTTTAATGATCTAGGCGTAAAGTCTAAAGCACATGGCGCAAAAGCATTAAGGGCGTGTCCAAATACACTTTTTCTACTTTAAGGACAGAAAAATATTCTCTGCGTCATGGCGCATGGTCTAACAGGGTTATGTTTATTAATGAGTTATGGATGTGTTTTGAGCATAACGTGCATTAAACCAATCAGAGATCTCCCATTCCCTCTAAGAGTCAGATGAGTCGCGCCATGGCACATTTGCTATTTACATGGCAGACTTTGTAAATGGAATAACTGAATGCTTTACTGGCGAAAAAACAGTTAAACAGACCATCTGCAGTGCAAGGAAAATGAATGAGCCTCCTCCATTTGGCCTCTTTACTTTATCTTTACTTTTACTCTTATTCCTTTACTTTATTCCTTTACTTTCATGTATAAGAAAGCGATGTTGTACACACTCCACTGAAGACATCCATTATTCTACATATTTGATTTTCTTTGTTGAGTGCAAAGATTTACTTCAAAACTTATTTTAAATTCAGTACTAATTTCCAGCAAATTTACAACAATAATGACGTGTGGTCAAACAACTGAGTTATATACAAACACACGTCCTATTCTTGTGCCCCATATGGTGATGCATACATCTCCTAAACCCGGCAGATGGACCAATCTAAACTTGTTTTTATTAAAACAAATATAAATATGCATATAATAAATAACACTACTACTAATAATAACATTACACAAATGCAAATAAACAATGAACTGAAAAGAATGCATGTAGGCAGTGGTTTTTATGTTTATGTATATGTATTTTTTTTAATAACATTTTAATCTTTATTGTTTTTTAATGTGTAAATATATCTGTGTTTTTCTGTACATTGTGTGTGTATTAAGTAATGTGTAAGCATTTAAACCTGCATAGGTGCATAACAAACTTGCTCTGTGCTGGACTTTAGACCAGCTTTTAGTTGGTCAATCGCTGGACCAAGTGCAATTGGTCAATTTCAGTTCTTCAAAATAGCAACGCACCAACAATGTGCCTTAACACACCTCCTTTTTTAGATCGGAACTCCCATGAGTCCACAAAGTGGCGCAAATGGATTTGCTATTTAAACAACATGGTCCAAAATGTGAAATATAGGGTTGTGTTGATCTGAAAATAGCAAGAAATCACACCATACACATTTTGTGCCCTATTGTGCTGGGTATATGGACCCGGTGGGTTTAACACAATTGTTGGCCCATTTGAATTACAAAACTTATATATATATATATTGTTACACATTAACATCTTTACTCTCATAAATAAGTATTAAATAACGTACATTTTTAAACACATTATCATACATAAACATACCAATGTTTATTGTAGTAGATTCTGCATACTAAGTATGTGTTTTTAAAAATGCATACATTGTGTTTTTGCTTGTTATTTTTGCTATAAAATTATGTTGGGGTTTTTGATTTATTTTTTTAGAGTGATCAGCAGAGCTCCTGGACTGAAACTGGTTGTTGAGACATTGATGTCGTCTCTTAAGCCTATCGGAAACATTGTGGTCATCTGCTGTGCCTTCTTCATTATTTTTGGGATCTTGGGAGTTCAGGTGAGTACAAATAAGCATAACCCTGCTAAAAGCACAAGCTTAAACCAATTTAAGATGATTTTCTAGTCTCTTGGGTGGTTTTAATGAGGTTTTGAGCACTTTTCAGCTTGGTCAGCCTTGGAGACCAGCTTAGGTCAGTTTTAGATGCTTTATTCATACCTTATAGTTATATAACATATAACATATTTTAAGCCTAGCTTAGACAATTAAAGTAAAAGCCAATCCTAACCTAAAGGATTAATTGAATTAATTTCTTCAAAAACATATATGATATAAATAGTAACACATAAAATGTGACAGTTCTTTGTGTTTAATACACAAGATTTCCTCTTAGTGAGAGTGAGAGAAGTGGTGACTAAAATGAATACATGCTTGTCATTTGTGTAAATTTGAAACATACACTTCCTGCCCAAAGATGAATAATTTGACTATGATTAAAATGTTCTGTTTTCCATACTTCCACAATTTACATAAGTGCGTAGGGGAACACTAGTGTAATTTATCTTCCATTCCTCCAGGAAAGCACGCCTGTGCTCCTAATTACTGTGCAACATGTCATATGTAAAAGTGACTGTCCTTGTTTGCTTTTCCACTATACTGTCAAACACCGGACTTTAAATAATAGCATGTAAACATACTGTATTGTATAACATTGTAACATGATACTGGTCATTAAGGGGATTGAAAACCTGATGCAAATGCAGTGCTGTCTTTACATTTTATCACGATGAATATGTTTACAATACATGGACACCAATAATCCGATTTTTAATATGATTAAGACAATACTCTGATTAAGAGTCTACCATGTAAACAGAGATTTTTAATGACCTTAATCCTACTGAAGTCATAATTGAACTAAACAGAAATGGAATTAAGACATGTGGAGTATGCCTATTTTAGTCACATTATTGAAGTGCAGTACAGACATGTAAACACCACAATCAAACTATTGCCATCATGTAGGACTTTTTGCCGTGTTTTGAGATAGGATAGTTTATACCAGGGGTGGCCAACCCTGTTCCTGGAGAGCCACCTTCCTGCAGATTTCAGTTGCAACCCATTTCAAACACACCTGCCTGTAATTATCATGTGGTGTTCAGGTCCTAATTAATTGGTTCAGGTGTGTTTGATATGGGTAGCAACTAAAATCTGCAGGAAGGTGGCTCTCCAGGAACAGGGTTGGCCACCCTGGGTCTATACACACAACTGTTTGACACTATTCTCTGCACCTACCGAGTCAGAAAAGGACCACAGACACACACATCAAGAAATGCAGAAGTGTATTATTCCCACTTGGCATGCGGTATAAAATTCTATTAAAACACCAGTTCTTACTTCATACTCGCATCCAATACCTCAGTTTGTCACAGAGGCATAAATGAAATGTTCCTGAATGAAAATAAAACTGCTGAACTGCAGTTAAAGTTGAAAAACTAAAACTGAAACACCTGAAATTACATAAAAATTCCAGAGGAAACGTGGATAGCGTGGTGACGCAATGACGTTAATGGATCCATGCCAACCTAATGTGCTTTTCTGTTCCGCAGTTCCTTACTGGCTGCACCAGTTGCGCAGTTAAACAGTGGCTGCACCACTTACTTGTACTAAATTATGCTAAACTACTGGTCTTCTCCAAACTCTTCTCCTTAACTACCCTATTTTTTCCTTAATATTATTATGACAACCTGGTTAACGTTTAAAGCATACATTTAAAATCATTTAATTAATTAAATGCTTCTATATTTTAACTACATTGATTTAACAGGTTTTCTGCTTACCTTATAGTTCGACACCGCTGATGTCAATGCAATACGACAGATCAATAATTTTCTCCTGCTTTTTGTTACCAAATTGTATATCATGTAAAAGAGATCATGAACAGAACGTTCAAAAAGCAACTCATAACGCCTTAATCATGTTATTGTCTTATTCAGATTAAAGCAACTAATTTGATTAATGATGTCCATGTAAACCTGATTATTGTTTTCTGTGACAAAAGGCAAATGTTTCAGCTCAGGGTGCTGTACATGTTTCTGCTATGCCACTCACATTGTTAACATGCGTAATAACTTCGCCCCAGACTGGAAGATTATACTGCGCATCTTTTTTTCTAATGCCTCATTCACACTAGCAGCTACTTTGTAGCTGCCTGTCGTTCTAGCTGGCGACATGCTGCAAACACAGGTCTGTGTAGGTCTATACAGCACGAATTAAACTGGCCTCTGAGTGAGCTGAGAGAGGTTTATGTGAGCTCTCACTCCAGAAAGTCACTCTTCCTTTGCATAAAGTTGAAGGATTCTCAACTTTGTTGCGTCGCTTTACGGGCCTACCTGGTTGCGAACGGTCGGTGTTGGTCGCATAGGCAGAAGTTACCAGAAGTTGCTCGCTCTCCTTTGAAATAAACGGTTGCTTGTCGCATTGCCATTGCAAGTCGCTCATAGTGTGAATAAGGCTTTAATGTGGCTTAAATATATATATATTTTTTTATATATAAGATCTATAATACAGATGAGGATTTCTCTTTTCATTGGCTCTGCTTTTTAAACACAGACATTTAAACTCATTGACACTCACATTTTTTAGTTTCACCTCATGCTTTTCTGGCAGATACTCTTACAATCTGTCATATTTCATTTTTACTTTTAATAAAGTGTTAACATCATATCACTGTGACTTATTTGCTCTGTTATTTGAAAAAGACATTTTTAATGAACTGTTTCATGTATATAAAATCACTTCGTAAGCTGTTAATTTGATGCACAATGTCTGTGTGTAATATAACATGTTGGGTTTAAAATATAAATCATACTCATATAAAAATTATTATTATTATTTTAATTTTTTTGTTAAAAGAAATTTTTTTTTCATATTTTTCTTTAGAGATTGTCAGTTCGTTTCACAATTATAAATAAAACGAATTTATTATAAAATATACATAAATCTAAAAAGATGTAGTATTTAAGACATACCCCTGAATTATTGGCCCCTATGTTTATTTTTTGCCCAATTTCTGTTTAACGGAGACAACCACATTTCACCACATTTCTAAACAGCTTAAAGTGACATTTAAAAGGGTTAATTAGGTTAACTTGTCAGGTTAGGGTAATTAGGCAAGTCACTGTATAATGATGGTTTGTTCTGTAGACTTCAAAAACAAATATAGCTAATAATTTTGACTTCAAAATGTTTTTTTTTTTTTTTTTATTAAAACTGCTTTTATCTAGCCGAAATAAAACAAATAAGGCTTTCTCCAGAAGAAAAAAACATTTTCAGACATACTGTGAAAATGTCCTTGCTCTGTTAAACATCATTTGGGAAATATAAAAAACAAATACATCAAAGGGGGTTAAATAATTCTTATTTCAACTGTATGTTATTCAAATAAAATAGCAAAATCAGAAGTTTGTTATGTGCTGATGTGTACTTGTTTTTCCCCAGCTTTTCAAGGGAAAGTTCTTTGTGTGTCATGGGGATGATACGAGAAACATCACCAACAAGTCAGATTGCCTCCTGGCAAACTACAAATGGGTCAGACACAAGTACAACTTTGATAACCTTGGACAGGTAAGCACTTAAGCCTGGCTGTGGCTGCACAAACATTTACTTTGTCTGAAGATGCTCTTTTAGATGTTTCTTCAGGCGACTGGTCATGTCACTTCTAATCTGAATAGAATCTCTTATAGTCTCGTCCCATTTTCAGCAGGGAGCCATTGAAGTCAAAGATTTCGCTTAACCTTTTTTATCATCTCTCACCTCCCTCAGGCCCTCATGTCCCTTTTTGTTCTGGCTTCCAAAGACGGTTGGGTGGATATCATGTACGATGGACTGGATGCTGTCGGTGTGGACCAGCAGGTATTGAAAATACTTTTATATCCGTTTGTTTGATGTGGATTCACATATGGCACAGTGTGGCAACCTTGTTCATTTAAATGGGTCATGGTTACTAGTGCAAGCAACTTGTAGGCTAGAATACATTTAAATCGTTAATATTCTCTGATGACAAACTCCCTGAACTGAATCAGAGCTAAAAAGTCACTGGTCAGCATTTCTATACTGGCTTTTAAAGCTGCTCCATTCATCATGCTTCTTACAATCCTTTCAACAGATCCTTTTGAAGCTTCTCTTTTTACTCTCTTTCCTCCAAATGTCTATAATACAGAGGTTTGAGGAACAGTTATTGCTATTAACTGGTTGCATATTAGCATTTTATTTTATTAAAATGAGCTGAAACATCACAATTCTTGAGTTTTTGGGGGGCATAACTTAATTTGTTATGTTTAATTCACTTGAATTTGTAAAAACAATTAAGTTAATTCAATTAATACAACATAAAAGAATTGTGTGGAATCCAGTATGTTTACAGTGTAATAACATTCACGTTGTTAGATTATTGGCTGTTTATTGACACATACAAAGCATATAACAATGCATGTTATGAAAGATCCTTATTCCTACACAATATCTAAACTTAACTAGCTTACTAACCATTAATAAGGAGAAGCAAATTAGTTCAAGTTTCTTTGAGGTAAAAGTCATTATTAGCTACACAGTAGTGAGAATTGGTCCCCAAACTTGTGATTAACCATAATTTTAATGAAAATTTTAATAATAAAATGTATCAATGTTTTGTTTTTATGCCTGAAAGCAAAGTCTCTGTTCTTTATGCGAGTCTGCAGCCTTCTGAAATGGTTTTGGTAGTTTTGTAAAGATCCCAGACCTCTGTCCCAGCCAAGACCCTTATTTTGTTTGAATTGGAATGGATATTTCTTCTTCAGTGAGCGCAGTGTGGCCTATGCTTCACTAGTGCACACATAGCACTTCATCTAGCCTAGAGGCAGGCACATTCTGAAGCCCCAACAGGAAAGACCTTTGAACTGCATTATTATTGATATCACAGTTCTCGGTTATCACTGTTCTCCTGAGCTTGCCTGTTAACCTCAGGCTATATCTAGTGGTTTAAATAAGGAACATGTTTAATATTGTATTTTATTAATTTTGTATTATTTTGTATTAATATATTACATAAATTAAACATGTATGACAATATATAGTATAAAATACTACCACAATTACTAAGTGTGTGTGTGTGTGTGTGTGTGTGTGTGTGTGTGTGTGTGTGTGTGTGTGTGTGTGTGTGTGTGTGTGTGTGTGTGTATGGATGTATGACACTCTTATATACTACCTGAGAAGTTTGGGGTCAGTATGATTTTTTAAAGTTTTAAAATAAGCTTATTCTGCTCACCAAGGCTGCATTTATTTAATCAAAATTCAATTAAAAAATGTCAAATTGTGAAATGTTATTGCACTATAAAATAATTATAATTTAATTCAATCATTTAATCCAGGGATTTTAAAGATGAATTTTCAACTTTATTACTCCAGTCTTCAGAGTCACATGATCCTTCAGAAATCACTCTCTGATTGTTATTATTATTATTATTATTATTATTATTATTATTATTATTATTATTATTATTGGTGATAATTGTAATAAAAATAGCAATTTGACTGGAGTAATAATTTAATTAATAATTTAATTTGAAACTACATACAGTAAGAAAGCAGTTATTATTTTTTAAATATATTTTACAATTTAACCTTTTTTACATATAATAAATGCTGCCTTGATGAACAGATTCATTTTCTTAAAAAAAAAAAAAACATAAAAAACTGACCCCAAACTTTTGAACAGTGGTGTATGTATTTGTTTTTTTTAAATATTAGTAGCCGACAAACTTTTACTCTTTTTTAATTTATTACACAGACACATAGATACATACTGTATACTGAATCATAAAAAAATAATTACAAAATCCTCTTGTGATTTATTTTTATATATATTTGAATATTTTCCAAATAATTCCTTTATGTTTAACAGAGCAAGGACATTTCCACAGTGTTTTCTTTCTATCTTTCTTTCTTTCTTTCTTTCTTTCTTTCTTTCTTTCTTTCTTTCTTTCTTTCTTTCTTTCTTTCTTTTTATTTTTAAGTTCAGCTTAAATAAAAGCATTTCTTAAGGTTTCTTAAACAACAGTTAAGATTAATATTATAAGCCTCTTGCAGAAAAAGATTTCTTTAGATATACAAACCACAGTTATACAATTAATTGCTTAATTAAGCTATTTAAGATTTAAATCACACTTTAAGCTGCATACTAGTATCTTTCAATCAGTGGTGGAAAGAGTATACTTAAAAATCATAATCAAGTAAAAGTACCATTACTTGCCCCAAAAATGTAGTGCAATTAGAATAAAAGAATCTGTTGTAAATATTATTCAAAGTTAAAGGTAGCCCTTTTAAAAGTACTCAAGAGTGAGTATTAAAGAATATGCTGTGAAAAGCTATTAAAACTGTTATGTTTAAAAATATGCATTCTCTACATTAAACAGCATTTGAAAAAATAAAATAAAATAAAAATTTTACAGGAGGGCTAATAATTTAGACTTCATATGTATTTATGCATATCTGTGTGTTTGTGTAAAAAACAATGCATAAAAATAGGTTAGTTAGTAGGTCTAGAGCAAACTAGCCTAACCTGTACTCATTCATGTTGGTGTTTATCTGTTTTGTAGCCCGTCATGAATTACAACCCATGGATGCTGCTCTATTTTATCTCCTTCTTGCTGATCGTGGCTTTCTTCGTGCTCAACATGTTTGTCGGCGTGGTCGTCGAGAACTTTCACAAGTGCAGGAGAAACCAGGAGGAGGAAGAAGCCAAACGGCGAGAAGCGAAGCGCCAGAAACGACGTGATAAAAAACGAAGGAGTAAGGAGAAGGAGCTAGCTGGTCGGTAGCCTTTCCACACCTTTCTGAGTCCTGCTTGATCGTTTTGATTTGACAGCGTGCTAAATTAGATGCTAATGCTAAATAGTTTCTGGCGTATGAGGAATGAGATGCTCAGGCCTGTAATTCGCTAGGAATCTGCCCCCGCTCCCCCCAGCTTGCCCCCTCTTTTGCCTGGGATCGTCTTTAGAGCATGTCCCATGGCTTGCATGGTGATCCGCTTTAATGAGAGAGCAGGGTGTGTGGCGGACCCAGGTCCCAGACATCTACACACCCTCCTACTCTCAGGCATGTAGGGCAGTGCAGTCTGAGAAGTCAATAATAATCCAGCCTTGTCACTCAAATTGGTTTCATCCATCAGCTGCCTGCCCTGATGCTACCCAGGATGCACGGCGTGGTATTGATGACCTTCTCTTTCGGTTCCACTGCCTGCTACTTTAGGAAATAGCATTAAAACGACATTGGAGAATCTCTATGTGGATGCTAGCTCTTGTTTGGACATTGGCTTGGACGTTGGTCCAGCATGTTTGAGCTTTAAGCATTGGTTAAAAATGAGAATTTTTCTTTTTGTTTTTAAGCTTTTGAGAAATACAGATCTATAAAAGCATTGGGTAACAGATTAAAAGTCATGCAAGGACCATAAAGCTGTGTTCATTGGAGATTTTATCTCTTTATCTCAGTTTAAAGGTCAATTCTAGCCTCTGTAAATGCCCTTTTCTTATCTTGCTTTCTCATTAATATCTGTATTTGAGTTGCACATAAGTTGATTAGTATGTTCTTTTGTTTTTAAGCGCTATCATGCAATCAGCTCTAGCTGGAGAGAGAAAAGTGCTTCATTTTACCCTCAGTTCTTCATCTTTTTTTATTTTTTACTACAAATCAGTTTTTTCTGTAGGTGTGAATGCCTGATGGGATGTGTCAGGTTTTTTTTTTTTTTGCGGTGGAATGAGTCAGCTTTGCCTGGCCTGATTAATATTTACAAACTTCTTTTTGATCATAACACCTATATATCCTGAGGTAACTTGTGGACTTTTGGATTTGGAAAAAGTTGTTGGTATGAATGTTATCATTTAAAGGGTTAGTTCAGCACAAATGGGAACATCTGAACTAGGAAAATACATAACAAAAATAATATATTGTCGGAAACAATATTTGAAACATTTCAAGAAAGGCTATCTAGGTCTTAAATATATTTAGTATAAGGGTGCTTTCACACTTGATCTGAATGCCTGGTCTGATCCTAAGTTCGATTGTCCCCCCCTTGGCTACTTTTGTGTTCACACTGTCTTTTTTCCTTCTGAACCCCAGTATGCTTGCGTCATCAAGCTGCTGTTTTGTTTACAGCTTTTGCTACAACGTAAAACCCAACAACTAACTTTATCAAATGAAATTTACTGAAAGTTAATTCTATTAATTTGAAAAGAGTGCTGAACTCTGTGTTGAAGGTAATGAAGTAATTAAATACCTCATTACTTCAAGTTCACAGTACTCATATATATTAGATTTTTTTGCTCAAATGGTTTGAAGCAATCGGTTTCCTCAAACGGTTTGTGTTCTCTTTAATTAATAGGGTTTTACTGTGCTCAAATTGCTCCATTTATTAAAATGGATTAAGTTCACAGTACTTATTATGAGTAGTTTTTGAACTTATTGAGTTTTACAGTGTATGACTGCCATGAAAGCAAAGCACCAAAATGGAGATGTCCGCATATCACAGTCATTCTGCAATTACTGACTCTTTTTGTTTTGTTACGTCAATCTGCTGCAAAAAAAAAAAACATTTAAAAAGCTCAGAACATAACATTATCACTGTTTGCACTGGGTCAGTCCTGCTTGTCATCAAGGTAAGTGATACACAGACATACACGCACGAATGAACGTTGTGAAAACTAAACTTTGTTGGACAGTTGGTGGATCACTTCCGTTATTTGGTACGATTGTATTCATATCAGAAGTTAACTGTACCAGAGTTTGCACAAACCATACACCAGATTATCTTTTTTAGGTGCACTCGGGTTCGGTTCAAGGGTGTGCACCAGAGTTCAGAAGACAGCATTTACATTGGCTAAACATACCTTACTTTGATGTCAAACGAACCTGGGTGCGGACCAAAAGTGCTAGTGTGAAAGCACCCTTAGATTTCTGCACACAACAATAAAGTTATTTTGGACTCAGAAGAATTGGAATGCCCACCAGCACACCATCCAGAATCCATCCTATTTCAGCTCCTTTGCTGGTTTCTTTGCCTGATTAACATGGTTTGTTCTTCTAGATATAATGCTGACCGGTGTCAGTTGGTCCAGTCCTGATCACACACAAGGTACAGATTGATTATAGCATGTCTATGTGTTCACCGTGGTGGTGGTTTTATGGGGTTGAGGGTGGGAGGGTCACCGGTTTGGGATGGCACCATCTACGCCCATGCTCTCACCTCATCTAATCAGATCTGACCACACAAAAATTGTCTGTGGAAGTGTGTGTTTGGTTTTACACCTCATCACCTGCCTCAAGCTCACAACAGGGGATGGATGGAGAGAGAAAGGGGGAGTAAAAAAGTTACTTTGCCCAATAGGGTTATTCTCCGAACTCACCTTAGCCTGCAGTAAGTGCTTTGGTGGTGTTTCAGGTCCGATCTCTCGATGTTGCCCCCAATGTGACGCACTGTGGCTGACTGTTCCAAGGGAAGAGTTTCACTGTAAACGTGTTTAGCTTTTATCAATCTGTCCGCTTCAGAGTTCTCTCATTGATTTGATGTCGTGGAGTAGTGATTCACTTCGTTTTGTGACTTTACACTGTTTTTATTTGATTTTTTTAAGTTACTGACCTGCAAAACACCACACCACACCATACCTTGCTGTTGTTCATAGGCTGCATGACGTGTTGGATCTCATTTGTGACTTATGTGAGTGAAGTGTTTTTGTGGTATACTTGTTTCACTTTGACTAAGGTTATGTTGCTTTTGCTGGACCTTTGGATTTGGAAAAAGTTGTTGGTATGAATGTTATCATTTAAAAGGTTAGTTTACCACAAATAGGAAAATCTGAACTATGCTCTGACTGACCTATAACTGTTGCACATGATTTATTTTGGAAGAAAAAGTAGCTTAAGCTTGTTTTGGATAAGAGGATTTGATATAATATTGTACTTATATATAGTATAATAATATTATATATAATATTGTATTATATAGTACCATGTACTTCTGAAGTCTAGGAACATATTGCTAGGAATGTAACTAACTCAGCTGTTTTGATTGGTTAATCTTTTGATTATGGAATTAATCATGTGAATTGACTCTTCAGATATTAAAATGTATAGTATTTGTTTTTGCTGTTTTTGATGAAACTATTAGGGCATTTCTATTAAAATATAGTGGTAAAAGTGTACACTACTTTTCAAAAGTTTGGAATCAGTAACTTTAAAAAAAAAAAGAGTAAATCCACTGCATTAAAAGCAGCAAGTTGATTTAACTGAAAGTCTTTAAGCCAAGGGTCCACAAACTTTTTCGTATGAAGGGCCAAAAACCAAATATCATTGATAGCCTTGGGCCGAAAATAAATATACCAAATTATTTTACATTAAAGTTGCCAATATAACTATTGCAATAACATAATAACATTTATAACACAGTGGAGTTCAATGCTGAATACACAAGTCAAGCAGACTCTGCCTTGATTTGCCCACCAAAGTCCTCTTACCGTCAGGTGACAGTATGCACATTTTCAAAACAAAATCTGATTCATTAACACCATTTTAATTGAAAAGTTTGATTTAAGTTAGCTTTTTTGTAGCTTAACAATATAACACACAAATAAAACGTTACATTACATTTAAGATCAAAGATGACTTGCTGTAAAGATTACTTGCTGTAAACCCATTGATTTAAATTTTATAATTATGCACATAGTTTGTTTACTTAATAATTATAAGGCGAGTTAACTCTTTTTTTTCAACTAATTGTTTTTTTACAGTTTAATTTCTAAAGGACCACCGGATATGATCTGAAATCTGCATGTCTACCACAACAAAAATTAATTAAATTAAAACACATTTTAAATTGTAATAACATTTCACTATTTCTTTCTTTTAAATGTGTTTTTCAATGAAAAAAAAAATTGAAAGTAAATTAAATTAAATTAAAAAATGTAAAATAATAAATAAATAAATAAAAATGTTAACAAAATTTAAGTTTTGGGTTTAAATACTTCTTTTAGAAAAACTGAATAATCTTACTGACCTCAAACTTTTTGACACTAGTGTATGCAAATAAGTTTAATAAAATATTACTGCTTTAAAGGGGCACCACTGATAAAGGGTTTCCATATTACCAATATGGAATTGAAAATTAAGTAAACCTGACTAAAATAAAATTTGGTTTTTGGGTGGTCTCCTAATATTTCATTTAATTTTCAATTAGAGAGCGAGAGAGTGAACACATGTGACAAGTCTTTAAAAAAAGATATTTTGGTTGCAGTTATATAACATAAAAGCATGTTTATTGGTGTTGCTCTCAGTGTAGCTTATCTCTTGTCTTATCTATCTCTCCCCTTCTGTCTGTGTTCTGCCTCAGTGAACGAGCTCCCTCATGAACCCCTTTCCTTTTTGCATTCCAGCATCACTCTTTTCTTTTCTCTCTCTTTGTCTCTCACTCAATTTCTAACTTTTTTGTCGATCCTTGCCCCTGTTCTTGCTAAGCATCTCCCTTTCCTCTCTTTTCTTTAAATTTATTTTATCTTCAGTATTTTAGAGACCCTTAATAAGAATAAAAACTACTGATGTGATAAATACTATAAAGCTCTCCATGACTACATTACTTATGACTAGAACTGCATCAGCTAATAACAGATGTGTGCATTTGTATATACCGACATAATGAGGCTGAAAATGTAACAAATGATACCCACATGCTGCTGCGAATGTACCAATCACACCTTTCCATATACAGTTCACAGCTGCACACATCAGCATTGTTCACGCTATGATTGAGTTATGTCATCACACTCGGGATGAACAAATCACAAGCTCCAGTTCTCCTCCAATTAGAAGACGATGTGTTAATTAGTCGAGCATCCAGTTACTGTACCTCAGCATATTTGATAATTCTGTTTCTGGTTTCAGTTTTGGAGAGGTAAGGGTTCCCCCCCAACCCCCCCTGCCGGTCTGTCTGTGTTGATTAGCTTCTTCTGCCGTTCTGTTCGAAGCTGTATGTTTGCGTGTGGGATCAAAGGGCTGCTTAATCATATCACACTGCAGTAGGGCTGAAACCATCTGCTTCTCCTCTACCTGTGTCCTCCTCAGTCGCCATTTATTAGCCCTTCTCTGAGGCTCTTCATCACAAATGTGTTCTGCCAGCAGTTTGTCCGGACACACTGTATTTACAAGGCATGTCATTTGGAGGTGTCCTTGATTAGGTAACAAATCTGATTTACAATATGTGCTTTTAGGCTGTAGATGGTGATATTTCTTAATCTGCTACATACTGTCATAGGATGTTTGTATTTTTAATAGTCCATTCAGAAATGGGACGATGCCTCATTGCTAAGCAAAAAAGCTGTGGATGCGTCATACTTTACATTGACCTTTCGAACTACAAAATGTTGAAGTTTTGAAGGTTTTTACACTGAAAAAATGTGTGATATTTTTATTTTTTATTTTTGCCCTATTTATCTAAGCTTTTGGATTGCATTTTAGGACCTTGATTTTTTTCTCAACAATATTTAACCTTGAAAAATTGGAAAAATTCACTTTTATAAACATTTTTAATAGTTTAAAGTTATATTATGTCTGGGTTGGTGTTGTATATTACACTACAAATACCTTGTAACAAACTGCCCGTGCATTTTCTGTTATTTCACAGACTTATTTCTTTAGATATTATTTCGTATACATTATATTATTTCAAACTACTAAAATGTCAATAAAAGTCAAACTGTAGAGTTTGAATTCAGAGTCATAAATAAACAGAAAACTCTTGTGAAATACAAAATATGGAAACGATGGTGTATTTATTATTACCTTAACGTCATTATTGATAATTAGAAAATTACTTGACATTGGATTTTTTCCCCAAAGCAAAGTATGCAGTATCTGTGACATTCTCTTTAAAGAAGTGTTTTTCTTTTTTTTGTAGATGTCAAAATAAATTATCCAACTTAGGCTCATTCTGAAAACGTAGCCCTAAATTAATTTCTAAAGATCGCAAATTATGTATCCAGAATTACGTATGGCTGCATTTCATCTTTAAAGCACTTCACACTACGGGCTGGTATGATGTTGTTCCTTTTCGCACTTACCAGCTGACCGCTTACTTCCATATAGAGACATTCTTGTTGTTACCAGTTTGTCCAGTTAGCTCGCCATGTAAATCTGCAGACTTAAGATGCAGAGAGAAGTTGACTACAACGAGGGGGTTCAAATTTGGCAAAGAACGGTTCCAGAAAGCGGGTAAAAAATGAAATAAATAGTAAATAGTAAGTAAATAACAAGTAAGAATGTGGTATAATCTGAAAACGTGGTAAGAATCCGACTGCTACGAGGGCTTTTTTTCATGATCACTTGAAAACTGTGGGTGGCTTTAGGGAAGTGGGTGGGCGGGTCAATCTGTGTTTTTGAAAACACAATTGGTTTGGTTTAGGAAACGAGGAGGCTGGGTCAGTCGATTGGTCAGTCAGTCAGTAAGTCAGTTACTATAGTCAGTGGTCAACAGCCTCTGGTGGATTTACGCGAAAACAGCAGGTGTGAATGGCACTCGAGAGAGAATATTGAGATCTGAAAAAGCATGCACAGAGGCCTTTGGTAAATTGCGAAAAAAAAAAAAACGTATCTCCTAGGCAGTATTTGGCATTCTTTAGAAATTTACATTTACATTTACATTTAGTCATTTAGCAGACGCTTTTATCCAAAGCGACTTACAAATGAGGACAAGGAAGCAATTTACACAACTAAGAGCAACAGTGAATAAGTACCAAAGGCAAGTTTCAGGTCTGTAAAGTCTAAGAAGGGAAGTGTTAGTAGTTTTTTTTTTTTTTTTTTGTACAGTTAGTGTGATATTCAAAGAGGCAATTGCAGATTAGGAAGTGAAGTGGAGACTAAATAGTTGAGTTTTTAGTCGTTTCTTGAAAATAGCGAGTGACTCTGCTGTTCTGATGCAGTTAGGGAGTTCATTCCACCAACTGGGCAGATTGAGCGTGAGCGTGAGCGAAAGTGATTTTTTCCCTCTTTGGGATGGAACCACGAGGCGACGTTCATTCACAGAACGCAAGTTTCTGGAGGGCACATAGATCTGCAGAAGTGAGTGCAGATAAGAAGGTGCTAGGCCAG